AGTGCCAACAAGGACGTAGGTCCAACTGCATCCCGCGCATGAAAAGAAAGGCGGGCACTTCTTGGGAGCATCAAAATCTGAGTCTTTCACCATTCCGGGATCTCTAGTTCTCATTATATACACCCGAAGCGGCAGCCCTCACGATGTCTAGCGGCAGTGATGATGCCCAGTTATCTGTTGTGTTCACGCGATGACTTGGGTTCAGCTGTTGCCGATTGATTGACCGTGTGCATCATGATCATCATGATCAGTACTGGTTGGCATCCGTAGTCACAAGCTTACCAGCACTTGTGCTACGCTCTTCTGCGTTTCCTGTTTCCTTGGACTACGAAAGTTCTATACGGCCGCATCCCAATGACATCGATGTGGCAAGTGATGTTACATCCCACGACAATCCGAGATGCTTTGGTACCTTCGCTATGGTACACTCCGCTCCAGCCTGCTATGCGTTGTGCTCGTCGGCTATGAACACATTAACTCTCACCAAATAACGTGGCGAGGAACACTTTAGGGGACCGCACCCTGTATTTGATTTGATTACCTGAACTTTCGCACTCTGTTTGGAGCCGTACTGGTCCCTGCTAGCTAGTGAATAAGTTGTGTGATGACACTTCAGGGGAACGGGCTTTAATTCATGCAGTTGTATTGCCAGGGGTTGCGTGAAAAAACTGAATAGTTTTTCTCCGATGGCAGAGGGTGTTTACAACATGTTTTGTAGCCGTTGTAATTTGATTATAGCCAGTATCAGACAAGCTCGTTCGTGCTGCCACCAGGTGGCTGGTTGGCTCTGCATGGAAGGCTGGACTTTATCTGTCGCCATAGCTTTGAGTGTCAAGCAGCTGCTCGAACAAGTGTCTTTAAAGAACTCCCTCTGCGTTGTCTCGTGCCGACTCCAAAGCCAGCTTTTGTCATGTGAGCCTAAAGATGGCGGACAATTGTCACTCAGCATCGTCATCGCCAGGGTCACCAAGTCAATATCACCATGGTGATGACGACGATGACGATGGCAGTGGCCTGCATCATCAGTATCTGTGGGAAGCCAAATTCGGAGTCCTGCCGGCCTCGAGTTGAACAATTTGAAAAGAGTTGCGTCGTGATTTTCATGTGCAAACAGGACAAAGGGGGGACTCTAGACTACTTGCCGAGTGTTGTTGAAGAGTATTGAAGTGTCTACAGGTTTGCACACCGTAGCAACCCTGCAATCGAATCGAATCCTGATATTTTCTTAGACCCCAATCTCTGCAGCTGCTGCCGAGAGGTGTTTCGGGGTGGATGCGGAGTTGCTCCGCGCGGAGGATGGCGGAGGTGCCGGAGAGGTCGCAAAAAGGGCAGCGCTTGGGTTGATCGCTCCTCCGATTTGTTGTATAAACCCTTCCTTGGCTTTAGGGCTCTGGGGCCTTCGGGTTTGAGTCGTTGTGAGACAGGGGCAGGCATAGGGTCGGGATCTCGGTCTTCGCGTTCTCTCCAAACTGCAGAATATTCAGCGGATTAAAAGTTGTCGCCCTATGTAGCCGGCCCAACGCATCGTGGGATGGGATGAGCTGATACTGAACAGATCAGCACTGATCCAGTTGTAGTGGACAGAAAAGGATTTTGGAGAGACCGCATCTGTTCAAGTAGCAGCCGGAAGCAAACGGCCAAAGCTCTGCGAATTAAACAAGAAGGGGCGAAGATCCAGAGAAAACAGCCCCTGATCCCGGAAATCCTATCTGGACCCTAGCTCCTTAAAGATCTCCGTAGGGAAGAGTTCATGTCCGGATGCCCCCACAACAAGATCGGATTCCAGCATGCCAAGCCAAAGCACTGCAGGACTAAACCGGATGTCTGAGACATGAAACAGTCTTCCTCAAGACAGGGCAGGTTAGTCCAAAAAGGTTTTCAAAGGCATAGCATGTCAGCTTCCGTCTTGGCACTTTTTTTGCTCGCAGTGCTGCATGCAAGAGTCTGCAATGCAGAAGGCGTGCAACATCGCTTCAGCAAAAGAAGCTTGGCCTCCGTAGTCCAGCTCAAAAAGCTTTTGCAAATAATGCAGGCTTCAAGGAGCAAGCCTCATGCGCTAAACTCCCGCCCGGTGGCTTTGTGTGTAGCAGCTTTGGGAAGCCGCAGCTGGAACCGACGGCGCCATGCCCGCCCAGAAAGGCATCCAACAGCTCGTGCTTAAGGGCGTTTAGGAGCTTGGCGGCTTTAGAAGGTCTGCGGTCCTCGGGGTCTTTGGGTGTATAGCTGTGTGCTTTCCAAAGTTGTGGAGTTGAGGATCTTATATCTTGACCTTGTGCGTCAGCCTCGGCAAGCTTACAGTCAGAAAACACATGATCTGAACCGGGAGACTACACCCGTGGACTCTCCTGAAGCCCTGGCGTGTCCAGGTGGCTGCATTGTGACTGGGGGCCTCTCCGGATTCGGGCTCATGATGGCGAGGGAGATGGCTGTCACAGGCCGGGTAGCGTGGGCTATCGGAGTTGTGACATATAGGTTGACAGTTTCAAGCTTCCCGGTTCTCAACAGTACACCCTGAACAAACCCTGCGACCCTTTAGGCTCCAGGCCTGAGAGCTTCCGTCGCTCTGAGACGGCTCTTTGGGTCATTACCGGCATCTGAGGCCTATAAGTTCTTGAGACAGGACCTGACAGAGCAATCGAGTTTACATCAGTTCAAGCGTCAAGCTTTACCGTAATGGTGGAGGCAAGCCCCCTACGGGTAAGAGCACTAGGAGGGCATGCTGGTTAACCGGGAAAGTCATGAGCCTTCGCTGGCCTCATAAGGTTCCAGGCCTGGGCAGAGATAGGGAGGCTATTGTCTTCCAATGGGCGCATGTGGCACTGCACGGTTTTGATACCCCTGATCGATGTCCATGCAGCAGAGTGTCGATTTTGAGAGCTTTTGAGGCAACCGTCCACAGGTGGACCTTTTACCTGCTGTTTTGAAGTGTAATAATTCGGCCCCCTCCCTCCCTCCCTTCCCTCCCTCCCTGACCCCTCTGTACATAAGTATGTATCGTGCAAGTACATATGTGTGTAATATTGCAATGTAAACAATGCAAATGTATGTATACACGTATGTATGCATCTATGTTGTCATGTATGTATTCGTGTATTATTGTAATGTAGTGTATGTATGCACTAATGTACTGTGATGTAATGTAGCATCCGTCTGTTTGTTTTTCTGTGTGTTTGCACTGATGTCGTTCTGTAGTTATATATGTCTGTCGGTTGGTATGTCTGCACGTATGTATGTATGAATGTCATGAATGTCATGAATGTGATGAAATGTCAATGTAGCACAATGCAATCCACTGTACTGCAATGTAATGATGTAGTGTAGTGTCATTTAATGTAACGCCGTTTGGTGTAATGTTATGTGATACGACGAATGTCATGTAATGTTTTGCTTTGGTTTGTTATATGATTACGCCAGGTTATGCCGCGTCATGCCATGTCAGGTCACATTACATTGTTTCGTTATGTTATCTTAAATTATGTTATGGTATGGTATGCTATGTTGTGTCATGTGTTTGTCATGATGTTCTGTTGTGCTAGGTCATGATTTGTATGCTTTGGCTTCTGATGTATTCTGTTTTTGCTTGTGATAGGTGCTGTCGTGTTACTTTTTTGTAATTTCTTTGCTATGCACGGTCATCTGATGTCTCGTTATGCTATTGAATCGTATCATGTTAAGTTATGTTGTTTATCTTGAATCAACGGTTGCATTATGTTGTGCCATGTTGCATTATGTTATCATATACATACTCTGTGCATATGCTGGGTGCGTGCATATGCGGGTACACGGACCTGTTTACTGTTTGGTTGTCGTCATCCGGGCGTGCAAAAGCTACCGATGTCAGGATGCTTCCTGTACAGAGTTTGCTAAGCATCCTTAGCTGCAGCCATAAACAACCGCGCACGAAGATGTTCTAAACTCCCAAGAATCGAGATGGGTGAACGAAGGCTGTAGGTGAACTGAACGCCACGGCAAGCACTAAACCCGACACCCCTAGACCACGAGATTGATTGAGATGAGCCCTGCTTGTGCTCTGAGGCCACAGTCCTGTCGTCACAGTCTCGCGATCAGGCCTGCGGCTTTCGCACGGGCAAGATCAGTACAAACTACTTGTATAGTGGTACTCGGAATAGCAATGATAATCCAGCAGTGGCAGGTGTAATGACGGTAAATATTGATGATTCCCATAATGATTACCGGGCTGTCTAAGCAAAGGCTTTGTCTCGGGTTTTGAAACCTCAAACCGACCCGGCGGTGTTGATTTCACGGCAGAGCTTCCGTCTTGGCTTGCTGCTGCAGTCCCACGAGTACTGTAACTAACAGCAATGATTGTTGTAGCAGATGCAGTATCAGGAAGTCTGAAATCAACAGACTGGAGTGATATAGGGGCCTTAATAACAAGAATAGGCTGTTGGGGTATATCATAGTATAAATTATCAGTAGCATGGGAGAAAACAGTTAAGGATCGTATCTGCCAGGCAGGAACTCCATGCCGGTGGAGGCTTTGTCAGAGCTTGACGTCATCCAGGCGTGTGGAGACGGTGCATGCCTGGCATATGTAGACTTTGTTGAAAGCTGATTGGCATGCTAAGAAGTTGCTTCGTCAATTAGTTCCAGTTGCTTATGGCTCATGGGCTCAAGCTACACACTAACGTTGCATGGCACATGCGCGGGAAATACCGAAGACATTCATGTTTGCGTGCAAGAAAAGACGATCATCGCGAAAAGATCTCTCAGGTCCTTCGCCCATACCAACCACAGTCTGCGAGCACATGCCAGCGATGGAGCCCCCCGCAGAAGAACTGCAGGGCGCTCTGCAGAAGCTGGAGACATTGCAGCAGCAACAGCAAGAGTCCGCAGCTGGTCTCCAGCTGTTGGCCACCCAGCACCGCAACTGGCAAGCAGCCGTGGCAGAGCTGTTGGGCCAGGTCGAGTCTTCACTGCGGGATGATGCGTCGGATTCGACCCCGATGGCTGCACGCCCGGTTTGCAAGGAGGCCAGCATGGCACTCTCGGCCCGCCCCTCTATCCGCTCAGCACGTTCCTCGGTCATCTCCAGCGAGCTGAATGACCCGATTCCACGAGAGACGGAGTCCGTCCAGCTGGAGGACTTGGATGAGAGGGAGAAGTTCACCCGACTCAATGCGGTGTCCTTCTTAAGGAAGGGACCCCAGATGCCCTCTACCCACAAATTGGTAGGGAGGGGGCCTTTGTCGAAGCTGGTCTTGGAATTCATGCCAGACGCTGCAGAGAACCTACCTCTCGTGCCCCTTAGAGGCTGGAGTTGGTTGAGACAGACGCTGCGCTTCTGACTGGGGTAGTTACTGTAAAGGAATGAGGGTACTATAAGGGCTATCTACAAGACTACGGTACAGTAAATAATGCTACATTTTTTAGCAGAAGGGTACAATAAAGGTTACCTACACGAGTCCAAGGTTTACTTTCTCGAAGCACAGTTTTCAAGAAATGCACATGGGTAGTTCTCTAAATTTAGGGTCCTTTTTCGGTCCCCAATATAGTATGGCTGCCTTATAAGAAGCCGGTTGAAAGGAATCCTAATTTTGAGAACTACCCAAATCCACATCAGCCAATTGAGGACTGCTCGCGAGCTTGTGAAGTCTCGGTGGTTCGAGACCTTGGCGGGCCTGATCATCCTGCTGAATCTGATTCCTTGCAAGGTTTAAGCGTTGAAAGGTTGGGTATGAATAGCAAGAGGCTGTTTGTCGATACGAGTACACCATGGACTAAATCTGCTTTCAGACTACACATCCCATGCAAGGATCACGATCGGAGCAGAAGCTCAGCTTTCTTTGGACAGGGAAGCGAATGCGGACCCTTTGCCACTCAGCAAGATTTCACGGCCTCGGCACTCGCTTGAGCATGACTTTCCTGCAGAGTCCTCTTCGGAAGACTTGGCAGACAGATCCAGATTGTCCTACAAGTTTCTGCCAGAAGACATGGGGCTTGGAGGCCAGACGTTCGCGCGGCAGGTGCAGGAACCAAGTGCCGCTAAGGCCCACAAAACCTGACACTCCTCCAGCCCATCAGCCCCTGCACTTCAAAAGCATCGACGGGTTGATTACTAGCAAGTCTTTTCCATGAGACTCTTGAGACCACAAACTAAGTAAGAGAGCATGAACGGAGCCGCACCCTCGCGCTGTCGTGAAACCAAAAATTATGGTCTCCACAGCCCCAGCCACGCAGCCTGCCCCTTGCAAGGTACTTCCTTGGCATCATGGAGCAGCTGTTCCTCATTATCTACAGCTTAGCCGCGTGCCTGCGGAAGTTGAAGAAGATGGCAAGTAATTCAGAGCAAAGAGCAGCTGTGAAGTGGAAAGCGCTCCCATAAGGTGGTAGAAGTGATTAAGTGCTTGGTCAGATGAGCCGACAGCACTAAGAGCTGATGCAGCAGCGTGGGAATCGTCGGCGGATCGTAAACGTAAACCTCATGCGAGTCTTCGCCATTTTATGATCCTGTAGCCTTAACAGAAGGAAGGAGGAAACCTCTGAATCGCTGAGGAAGTGATCCTGCGAGTGATGGCCGGAGGATGGTCTGCACTTTGGCCGATCTGCCCAGAAATGCAGAATCAATCTAGGGTAGGATCCTCGGATATAAACCTGGTTAACCAAAAAGGAACTGCAGTGGAGACTATAGGCAGAATGAGTTTAGGCTTTGTGGTTTGAGGTTGAGGCTAATTTTGCGAGATTTGGGGGTTTAGGGGTTAAGTCTAGGGTTCAGAGTTTACAGGGTTTCGATGGGCTTACGGTTTAGGGTTGTCCGGTTTCGAAATTTCGCGGCAGATGGAGCATGAACATTTTGCTTTTAGGCTTCTCAAGAGCTCCACTCAGGGCACTGAGTTTATGTCTGCGTTGCCCAGAAGAATAGCACTTAGGCGCAGGCCGGCCACGTCAACATAGCAAAGCCTACGCAATAAGCATTGGATCTGCGGAGCATCTCGTGCCGCAGTCCCCAAGCACCCCAATTTACACCTTGTAATCCGCCCGAACTGTGGCCTTTACGAGCCCTCTTATATCCAAAGCCTAGGTATTCTGTGACCTCTGGTTTCTGATGGACTTGGCCCTGGTTTCGATCGGCATCCTAGCGCTGGTCGTCTTCCCAGGCAGAGATGTAGTGTTGATGTATCGAGGATCTCACGGATGGATGAGGGCGTGCTCTGCTGGCTGCGCTGCTGTCGCTGTTGATGTGGCTTTTTTGCTGTGTGTACTGTTGTTACTTGTGTTACTGGTGATCTTGCTGTTCCGGCCCCTTGCTCCTGCTGCGGTCTCTGCTGCTGACTATTACTGAAATTATTGGTTCTTTGTGATGTTGGTGCTGTGTTGTCGTCAGCTGTGTCGGCAGGGTGGTGAGTGTTGTGGGGGTTGTGAGTGTGGTGGCGGTGGTGAGTGTGGTGTTGGTGGTGCTGGTAGGGGATGGGCGCGATGGCGGTGGCGGCGTCTGCTATTGCTCCTGCCGCCACGAACACTCGCGAACTATTTGCCAGCAGATGTTGCACCTTCATCTTGTCGTCCATGTCCGGGCGCATGTACTTACATCAGTACGGCTGGACTTTCCGTAATCATAGCATCAGCGAGCCCCACCTCATCTTGAACTTGATATGGTTGTGGGTGTGGCAAGATAGACACATCTGCACAACACAACCAATTGTGTGGCTCGGCCTGTGGACCACGCCTTTTGCAACCTCGGACATTACTCAATTATTCACAGCGCCAACCCTTTTAAATTACCCGCAGAGCCCTATGCCGTGGGCAAGCTGCAGGAATGTACACAATTGGATTCGACATTCCTCTGGAAGGCTCCTGCGCTGTGGGCTTTGGGGTGGGAGGTGGACTTTGGGGTTTGATTCCGGGTTTTGAGGGCCTAGATGCAAGCATAGGCATCTAGAACGAAGTCCTTCAGAGGCTGTTAAAATAAGCTGTGCCGCACACAGTGCGCTGGCTGCAGGGGCAACCCTGCAGTTGCATGCATTTTTTTGAAAACTCGATACCGGTCATGAGGTCTGCCCGAACCTTTGAACGAATGCGGTGTTTTGCAAACATAAGCTGTCAAATGCAGAACTCCGATTCCGAAGCCCTCAATCAGCATGTCCGTTACAAAGGGCATTTAGGCTCATTCGCACAGAGATTGCTCTTAGAAAGGGCCCGGCCCTTCGTTCTGGCATACTAACTCATTAGTCATTAACCAGGCATGCCAGATCGTCCGACATAGGAGGTACGTCAAGAGCTCGAGGGTGTCTTCTTGCAAGTAATGCTGCGGGCATGAGATTGATCCAGGTTTCGAAACATTCCTCGTGGTGCGTGGGCTGCGCTTGCTGCGACTGTTTCGTGCAATGCGCACTTTCCGGTACTTCAAAATCATGTGGCGCCACTGGGCTTGTTGCTTGTGGTTGAAAGCTTGGTTCTTCTGTCGGCTACTTAGTCTAGCGATTAGCTTCACAGTTGGTATGAATATGTATGAGCGGACAGCATTTACAGGCACCACCGTAGTTAGCAAACCCCAGACCTTTCATCAACATGCCAAATAGACCGCGCTGTCGAGAAGAATAACAGTGCAGGAAACACAATCGTGCCATGGTGCGCTTTGTAACCTTTGTTTTATAGTAGTCCCCCCTTAAACGTGCCACCATTACCCATGACCGTAGCTGCACTGTCTCATCATTCTCATCAGCAGGGTAAGTGTTGGGACTGCCCGAAGTCAAGCGACAGGTAGAAGCATCATGGCAGGATTGCTGTTGTAGGCGCTGATGTTGAGGCCATTGCTGTTACTGTGACAACTGTCGTGAACCGTGGAACTGATGTTCGCTGTGTCGGCCTGAAGTTGTAGATGACGGGGGTGGTAGCGATGGAGGCAGCGGCGGTACTGGTGCTTTTGCTGGCGCTGTTGTTGCACTTGTCGTCGTTGCTGTTGTAGTGGCTCGTCCTGTTCATCGTTGCGGACATCGCTCTTCGGGGATAGGTTTGTCACTGGCAGCGACCCGTCATCAGAATCTTGTAGCGTGCTGCTTGAGATTTAAAGCAATAGCAGGTGTTCAATCTCTAGGCCCGGTTTTGGAGCTCCACGACCGCATAGCTATAGCAAGCAGGAGCTTTTCGCAAAATGCAGCTATGTAGTTATCCTGGTTATCCTCGTTTTCTAGACTTCTTTCGCTACGGTGCTTACGTGTGTTAGAGGCTAAAGGGCGGCTTTTGTTCCAGTTGACCTAACAGACCTCGCAAGCTCTAGTCAGCCTCAAGATCAGCTATGTGATTACTTGCTTTCCTGAGGACTGGTATATGCCCTGCTTTCCTGCGGCCAAACCATCCTCTCCACGACTCTGTTGTCGCCCGGATGAATCAGTTCGGGGCACATTTGGTGGATCCTCCTGCAACCCGAAGACTCTCGCCCTGAAGCTGCCAACTCCGTGAATCCATCGTGTTCCCAGTGTATGCAGATGTCCGCATGCGGGTGCAGTTGCTTGATATCCGAAGCAGACTGCGAACTAACTGTGCAACCTTGCTTGGATTCTGCCACTTCTTCAGGCATAGTTTTTGATGTTTTTAGACTGCATAGCCTAAGTCATTGATGAACTGCATGCTGCTGCAACCCAGGATTGTTGTCTTTCTCTTCATCTGCGCGTGTGTTGCCATCGAGATCATTGCGAAGGACGAGACTCTGCTGGCAAATGAAGCTTTGCGAAGCCACTGCCAGTTTTCACTCCAAGGAAATTAGTCGTAGAGGCTTCGAGGGCACGGTTAGATGGAAGGGGACCTCCAGCAGGGATGTCTTTATTGTCTCAACTTCCCATATAGAGATAACTGGCACAAGCAACTCTCAGCGTTCGGCAGCTAGAGAAGGCAGCATACCTGTCATTGCGAGAGTGGCTGCTTTGCCAGGCTCCGGTCCAAATGGTGGAGGTTTAGATTCCGGTAAGGGTTCCTGTAAAGGCTCCTTCAAGGATTACTGGAAGGCCTCCTGTTTGATTGTAGGCATTGGCAACATCTTAATGAGAGGTCGAACACCCACCGCCATGTTGCGATTCTGCAAGTGACTACTCCATGTACGGGACCCGTACATTCGTGGAATATGGCATTTAAACTTACGCTGCTTTCTGCGTCCAAGCCCAGGAAACCACTGCTAAGATCATTGAAGACAACTTTTTTGGGCTGTTCAAGGCTGCAATGACTTTTCTTCAGCTCCTTTTCTGAAATCTCCATGGTGCTTCGGGGGCAATGTCTATTTCAGGGTTCGGAAGCGTGGTTGCGATGCTTGCGAAGCGGCCCGGGCCCTTCAGATTTTGAATTATAGGGTTCAGTGTCTTCCTATATAGTTTCCCTGTTTCCATTGTTTGCTGTGTCACTGATCGTCGTGCAACCTGTAGGGAGCATATCCCGGCGCGGAGACCAATTCAGAAGTAGTCTCCCATGACCGGGACTGCAGATACTTCTCCAATACTCTGCGCAGAGATTCCCCGAACCATCATGCGATTCTCTCGGAAGTTGTAAGCCATGCCCATCTCCGCTTGCAAGAACTACCCAGTAACTACCCGACTTTGGCCGGAGCGGTCTGGCCAAGCCTCCTTCAACCAAGTGTGCTACTCGCTCTCTAGGCAATAAACCCAGCGCAATAAGGATGTTCTCGTCTCGTACCTGGCGTCTCGATTTCCAGATCTGGCGCAAACAGCCTGCTGTAGCCTTCAGGGATGGCTTTGAATGTCAGGTCCTACCGACTACCGAACAAGAGAGGGACCGATAATTGTTCTTTCGTTGGCTTCTCGAGGTTTGGCATTTGTGGCGAGGGCATGTTGAACATGGATACGGAATGGATTCGCCACTCTGCGAAGGTTCGTCACCTTGGACTCCATCGCTGCAATCTATTTCCCCTTGATTCTTGGCTGACCAGGTGTTGTCGGAAGTATCGAGCTGGCGGGCCTTCAACATCCAAGATTTTTGTGCTCGGAAAGGAAGAACTCATAGCAGAACTGTGGCTCAGGGGCAACCCGAGACTTAGTTTCCCAATACCCAACCTGTAATTAAACTTTTTGGGTTCTTCTAGTTTAGTAGTAATCTTAGTAATCTGAAAGTTTAACCTTTAATTTCCCTGGCTTATTGGGGAAGTAAGGAGAGCAGACATGACATGTCCGTCTATTGCTCCGTTAGGGCCATGTATACCATGATTCTTGCTACAGAGGTGAATGATGCCGATGACGAAGAAGATTTATAGTGTGATGACCATGAATTGGCAGCTGCAGCTTGCCAGTAGGGTGGCTGGTCTGGTTTTGCAGCAGGTAGCAAGTCTTGCTTAGTCTTCTTCCTGTTGCCTGAAGTGCTAGATGTGAGCTTGGGATGTTAAGCATAGCCTTGGACACATTTCGTTTCATGGCCTTGGAGCCGAGCGGAGATACATTGTTGTACACGCAGTGGATCTTCAGTCCTTCAGAAATTTCTGCCAGTCGCACAGGCTGTGGCTGCAATGATTGGTTTGATGCTGGTAATCGTAGTCATAGTCCTGAAACTGAACAGACGGAACTAACAGTGAGAAAAAGTGGAAGAAAGACTACGAACTGCTAGCGGCAATGGCAAAACACAAGCTTTTGGCATATTGTGGGACATCAGAGACTCAGAGCGGTCTATAACGGATGCTGGGTGGCCGCCGCCACCGTCTCCATCATCGTGTTCGTCACCTTCTTGCCCCGTCTAGGTTACCCCCAGCGATTCAATACAAAGGTAAGTGTGAATCTCGACAGGCATTGAACGTATATTCACTGCATATTGTAGCTTGCAGAGGCGGACTTATGCATAAAAACCATCCATTATTTTGCAAGCACACGTCTACATACATAGGAAATTTAAGTAAACTTCTGAGCTGACAGCATACATAAATGAAGTACATGCATACCATCTTCAGCCCTATACCTAAACCCTAATCATACTCGCTTGGCCTTGCGGCAAAGACCCTGAATCCCTCCTGCAGCCTAAGCCCCCCAAACCCCTAAACCCCAATCCCCTGAAACCTAGACCCCACACCAGGATCATGTCCAAGCCGGAACTTTTTGCCTTTTTTGCACCCATCCTCATGTTCATCTCGATCGGCTTGATGAACCTGGTGACCTGATTGGCCGTAGAGCTTGCAGGATTCAGGCTTTAGGGCTTTAAGGGGTTCGGCTTCAGGGGTATAAGGGTAGGCTTTAGGGGGGCTAGGGCTATGAAGGTCAAGAGTATGCCCTAGGTTCGGGATGCTGACCCTCATGTCGTGTAACCTGTGGTTGTCAGGCTTTTTGGGGGCATCATAATCCGAATAGCGACGCTTCCCTTTTGTGACAACCTGAAGGCAAGGACTACGTAAGGACGTAGTAATGTCATGTGACAAGCTCACCGATGGGTGTTGTTCTAAACTATGGGCTTTGTGTCGTAGATTCCTATTACATGGGGTGCCAATTCGAGTGACACAAGCCACAGTGTGGATCTTATGGAAGTCTCAACAAAGCGCAACGCTGCGTGGTGTCGATGCGCATCCATCCACCAGGTGTTTCAGCCAGAGTTGGAGTCAGACTCCACGATGTGCGAGAATCTGAAACACTACGATCCTAAACCACCCCTTGGAAGCCCCGAGCCCGGCACGACGATGTCCTGTCCACTCACGCTTCACTATGGTGTTACGACTGATTAGCGGCTCTCTGCATATGGTTGGAGAACTGTCACTGCTTTGCTCACTAGATTCCTACCATCGCGAACCTCGCTGCATCGACAGTTTTCCCCCATCGACAATTTTCCCCCCACAACCTCACCCCGACAACTTCTCCTTGCTATCTACCTACCTATCTGTCTATCTGTACATATTATATACATGCATTTAATATGTATCTGTAATTTTAGTTATTGGTATTAACGTATATTTATGCACATAGATAGGTAGGGTTAAGAATACACAAATAGTTACACACACATACACATGTATGTCGCTATTTGCAAAACTAAACCAGCGAGCACATAAATAAGCAATCAAGTAATTATGAAAGTAAGCAAATAAACAACTACACAGTATTCATATTAACATACGAACCTTTCTGGTTATGCGTTTAATTAAATGTTGTTGTAGTGTGCGGTGTGGGTTCCCGGGTGTTTGAAGTCTTGTCACTGCGTATCGCTTCAGGGCCTCCAGATTTCGATCGAGTCCGACAGATGGAGAAAATCTCATCAGAAGACCTATCCATGCAAGGGCCGAGAAAGAGCTTCAGGATGTTGGCTGGAAAGGATTTATATACACGGGGTTCAGGCATAAGATGCAGGCCTTTAAGGAGCCCTTGTGGAATCCTCGCCGAACTCTTATAGAATGCCTAGACCAAGCCTGCCAAGGTGACTGCTGCTTTGGTAGAGAATGCGATGGAGCAAACGGCCAACCAAGCGGACGTCGTTTGCCTGAATTTCACGGCCCTCCATAATGTGCCATCGCAAGTGAAACGGGACTTAATTTGGGTTTTTAGGTTGCAGTATTTACTTTAGGACTTAGGGTTTACGTTAGTGCTTAAGCCTTCGATGTAGATCGTCTAGCCGTTGTCCGCCCCACTTCCCACAACAATATGAATGGCCAAGTGGTTCGACTTATTTGTTCGTTGCCCTTGTCAGTGTTCGGTGCCTGCTCCTTGTAGGAGGTCGCTGCTGATTTTCATGGCAACAGCCAAATTTAAGGCTGAGTTTTTCCTGAAAGTGGCACAACAGTCATGAGGCACGAGCCTGTAACTTGAACTAGCCTGGAACACTGGCGCGAACTCACTTCCACATCCTGAGTGTGGGTTTTTGCTGTCACGGTCACGGTTCTCAGCCAGGCAGTCGAACCTTAATTCTCCGAGTCGCATCCTTGGGCAGGAAGACAAGAAAGAGCTGCAGCAACAGCTGAAACGAGCCGCTGAGTTGCAGTGCATCGCGACATGCGGTATACTTCTACACATGTAACGTTTGTGAGGACATATAGATGACATAGTTAGGTATGAGTAAAGACAACTTTGTGTGCATATGTATATATACATATGCGTACATAGTTTGTTGATCTACTTGCGATGTCGACACAGCCACAACAATAGGGATCATGAGTTGCATGTTTAATCTTCGAATTTAGGTGTTTTTTTTGTGAAAATCGGGCGGCTGCCATGGCCTTATCGTATGTAAGCAGAGCTCAGGCTTGTTCGATCCATAGCGGCAAGACCTTTTCCTTCCATTGGGATAGTCAGCCTGGGCAAGAGTACAACCTGCCTGGATATGCAATCTGAGCTTTATCATTCGGAAAGGCGGGGAGTAGTTTTCGCCACCAGGATCTGTTCCAGGATGCTGTGTGTGTGTGTTTGTATGTATGCATGCATGAACGGATGCATGGATGCATGGATGGAGACTTCATGCATGTATGCATGCATGCAAACATCTATGTATGCATGTAGGTATGTGGATTGGTGAGCATGTGGGTATGTGATTGTGTGTGTGTGTGTCTGCGCATATGTCTGCTTGTATGTATGGATCGATGTATCTGTGTGCATGCGTGAGTATATACATGTTTATAAATTCATACATGTGTATATGTAGGCTTATAGCTATGCATATATTTATGGTTATATATATATATGTGTGTGTGTGTATGTTTGTATGTATTTATGTATGTATGTATGCATGCATGTATGTATGTATGTATGTACGTATATATATATATATGTGTGTGTACATGTACGTATGTATAAATATATGCAAAGCTGTGTGTATGTTCTTGTGGGCTTATGTATGCATGTATGTGTGTGTATCACTGAATGAATGAATGAATGAATGCATGAATGAATGAATGAATGAATGCATGTATGTATGTATGTATGTATGCATGTATTTATGTATGTATGCATGTATGTAACATACATACATGCATACATTCATACATGCATTCATTCATTCATACATACATACATACATACACACAGACAGACAGACAGACAGACAGACAGACAGACAGACAGACAGGCAGTCAGGCAGTCAGCCAGCCATGCATACGTTACATACATACACACATACACACATACATACATACATACATACATACATACATACATACACATATATAGATAGATAGATAGATAGATAGATAGATAGATAGATAGATACATGCATGTGCCAGCACACTTGCGTGTTGGTTTTGCGTATCCGTCTGAGGGGGTCGGACAAGAGAACTACAAGGAACAGCCATTATTTCGGCACTACGTCTAGGTGACAGGACTTGGGCTCTCGAATGTACAGAAAGCCATGCAGCGCAAAGGCTTCTTAAAAGATGCAGAAAGTTTATTCCAGCCCGCATGACCTAGAAAAAGTGTCTTTTCAACCTTTCGGTATGTGCTCTCCCGGGCCGGACGGGCAGCTCTTCGCACGAGGCTATCCCGGCTCTCATCGAAGTCTTTCACGACCTAGACAAAGACCAGAACGGCATGCTTACTTATGAGGACACGGTGGCACATCCACGACAGTAGGCTTGATGTGGCCAAGCTTTTCGTTTTGGCTGCAGAGGGGCAGGTGGAAGAGGCCTAGGCAGCCTGGTACATGCGATCTGCGGGATTTGGCATGTATTAGCACAGCACCATGAGAGCGAAGACTCAATTTCAAGGCTTCGGAGTTCGCGCAGCTTTCGCAAACCTGTGTGTCTAGATCTACTCTTGCGCAAACGAGCTGGGCTTCGCTGGGCTTCGTGGTGCCTGGGATCGGAAGATCCGTGATCGAATGTCCGAAAGCCAACCCGACGCCAGGAGCTGCAGGATGTTCCCATGGAGGATTTCGTTCCTGGTCGACTGATGGAGTCTATCCATGTGGCCTTCTGCCAAGCACGGATGGGATTTGTTCTTCTCTTGCGCTTCCCGAGATAGAAACAATCAGCCATAGAGAGCCCTGAAAACAATCAAAACGTCTCTAACCCTTTAACCCTAAGCCTTGAACCCTAAACCTTAAGTCTTAAACCCTTAGGCCCCGACTCAGGGGTTCGACAGGATTGTCAAACTCAGGGATGACAAACCAAAGCCTGGAGGCTTGGCATCTTTCCTTGGAGGCTTCGCATTTCTTCAGCTCAAGAGCATAAGACGGAAAACGACCTTGGGAGCCTGACTTTCTGATTAAACCATTCCTTGGGATACCTGCTTGAACTTCTTAGCAGAATCTGGGTATTCCCATACCCTAGTAAATGATTATACCAGGCACCTAAATTATCTCCTAGAGCAGCACAGTTCATCTCGCCTCGAACATGAAGTAGTCAAAGGAAATGTACATCTTACGACTTCGTGCGGCCGAAAGAACCCATGTTTGTGCCCATATTCTGTGCAGGGCAATCCGCGTGCTAGTCGCTGCTCGGGATTTTCAGGTTGCCATACCAAATCTAATGTTTCGTGCTGGTTCTCCGGAAATGTTGTGGCAGGCGGATGGTCAACAGCAAACACAACCTTGAAAACCCAGAGTGTCGTCTCAGTGCTGCTCCGTGTTGTGACCGTCTCTCCGGCAGAGAACAGCCCCTAGGAGACGATGGCAGATTTCTTCCATTATCTGGATGTGGATGGGTCTGGCAACGTGCAGCTCGGTTCATCACTACCCTCGTCCCAACTGTGCTGTTTGTACAAGTAACGGCGACGTGACACAACCGAACTGGATGAACGGGTTAAGTACCCTGTGCTTGAGAGGACCATGCATGCTTTTTTCACTGAGTCAACTTCACCCTGAGTTTGCTACTTCGAGAGCGTTGTGACACCTGGTGTAATTGGATACAGATGTAAGTGGGGACAAGACTCCATTCAAAATAGATATTCCACACTTACTTACCAGCAGTACTCTACAATCTCTGTCGCGGCTTGAAAGTTAATCCTAGCCTTGAAACCCCAATGAATCCAACCTGAGAGGAGTCAGACCGAGTTCGTAGAGGGGCTGCTGAACCTCTGCCTCCAGGAGACTGAACAGACTGTCGTGTGCCCAAGTCGGGGAACCTTCTGGATCTAAGCTGCTGCTGCATGTGTCATGCTTTCTTGAATCTTGTTTACTTTTTTGTAAAATGACCGTATCCGCTTCGGAAAATGGTCCCCATGCTGCAATTCCCGATTAGCTCTCAGCTCGGACTGCGTAGTGCAGCAAAACTCATCCGAGAAGTGCTGAGGAAAAGCTGGGCGGATGTGTGTGTAATGACTCAAGTGGCCCTGGAAGCAGCAAAAATACAATACCCTTGTAGTATCCCTCAAGGACCCCGGAAGGAACCTAGAATAGAATCGCAAATCATAGCAATACCTTTCTTACACCCTTCAGAAGCCGTTGCAGAGGATGTGCCAATTTGGACCATTCAGACGCTGAAGCTTCTCCGACGCTCCGTGGCCGCAGAGAGAGCTGAACCTTGGCCATGGCTTGTCCGGTGGAAAAATGATGACAATGATGATGACTGTAACAATCATAAGACTAGTACCAGTGGTGAAGAGTTCTAGTGGTACAGCCTTTAGTGATCTGAGGTTTAGGTTTCAGGGTCGACGATTTTCTGGTTCAGCAGGGATACTTCGACCACTGCTGTTCCATTCCATCAGACATGCTCAAGCTAATCCCTATGCCTGCTAGAACCACTTTGGGCAAGGGCAAGCGATGTGGCTGATTCCCGGCTGATGCGAAGACCGTTCAATTTCTCATGACCAGTGTCGTGTCAGAGAGCCAGGGACCCAAAGACAGACCCTCGAACGAGAATGATCTTCATGTTCGGGACCCGGGCAAGTGAATCGGGTTCGCGCTCTCAGATTCGCTGCCCTTGTGATTATGTGCTTTGCTGCCCGGGCAACGCCGTAGAGCCTCGTGTGTTCGATCCACAGTTCTTTCCAAGGAATTCATGCACAAGCCCCTTGACTGAAGACTGCGCCAATTTGGCAGCCACAGGCGGTTCGCAAAGATATTTGTGGCAACACCAGTTCTGATTCGGCATGAGATGCCACGGGGATGCATTTGCTTGAGGGCGTGGGCTTGGGCTTGCACTGCAGCTTAGAGCACAAGAGTATGGACTAGTGGGTTCGAGAGTGACCTGAGGTTCATTCGCTGCAGAATGACATCTCGGCCTTGAAGCGGTGGAGATACTGATGGTCCTTACCTGCTGTTCGTACGTGTGGCACTTGCAGCCACTAGCACCAAGAATTCCTGGCAGATTCTTGTGACTGATGATGACCAGTAATTACTTGCGTGAGTGTCACAGCCACCGACCAGCAAAGATGTGAAACAAGGCAGTCATCAAGATCAAAACTGTTGATTTTCGGCTTATCGTTCTACAATCTAGACTCTTGATCAGTGCTAGCGACATCACTAAGATGATCCCGATGCAGAAACAGTCATGATGCGAAGCGGCTTTGAAGCAGTTTGCAATGCGCATGATCAATCGTGAGTCGTTTCTCCTCGTGCTGGTTATGTACAAGTTTAGTGGGATGCGATGCCCCAAATAGTCTCACACTTAAGGTCCGACAACATCGGGCTCTTTTTCTCAGTCGGTCCGCAGACGGACACAATGTATTCTTGGGCCCAAGGGCCGGTCCAATGATAGCTGGGCCTTTGGCATGTGTTTCCCCCCATAGCTGCCGTGCATGCCAGGCGATACGGAAAACAATCTGGACACTTGAAGTGCTAACAGTCCCACTTTCTTCTCTTATGATGATAATGGCGACGACATGGGTGATGATGGTGATCAGCATCATCATGCTGATGATGATGATGACGATGATGATGACGATGATGATGGTGATGATGATGGTCGATGATGACGACGATGATGATGGGAATTCTGCTTCTGATGCCGGTGGCTAGCAAACACTGCTGCCAATCATCATGATGATAATGATGTTGGTCATGGTGATAAGATCGACGATTCTGTCCGCGATGTTGCGTTCGTCGTCGCTGCATCTCTGGATATTGTCGGCTTGTAGTCTCCATACGTGTGCTGTTCCATTGCCCACGAGGCATGACATACTTCGCAGACCGGGGAGCTGCCTCTGGTTTTTGTGAGTCCGTGATTGCGGGTATGGGGGCTGATCTTCGAATGATGGGCTGTTGCCTGCAAAAGTTGGTCTGCTACCTTGCTCTCTCGCTTTGTGTATGTTGGTTCCTTGCAGGTTTTGCTGTGTTTGGGGCCTCCGGTCTTAATAGAGCCGGCCGCTCATCAGAACTCTTTGCCCTGGTCAGTTGTAAAGTGCGCAGTCATCCGTCCCACATTGTTTCAGTGGCAACAAGGCCATTTTGCCCCATAGGCCCTGGAGATACCCGGGTCCGATACCTTCAGGAATACACTTCTCACCACGATGTGCGGTGTGACCTGGCAGACACCTCTGCGGTGTGCGGCACTGAGCCTTCCCAAATCGATCTGACATTCTGATCATTCGAATCAAGGGTTTGGGTAAGTTAGGTTGAAGTAGATAGGCTTATGTGGTTCTTGGCCATGTCTAAGTACACCTGCCTATAGGCTACTAGAGCTTGCTCCAGCAACTTCGGGGGTTGAGGTAGTGAGAGTTTTATGGACAAAGTGAAGGACTGTGGCACCAGGGCCCCGGGGTTGCGCAGGGATGCCAGGATAGTGATGCCCCAGTCGGCAGCTTTCCGGTGAGTTTTGGCATCGGCCGTCCTTTGTCCCATGAGCTTAGGTAATAGGAGCTTGACTAGCAAGCTTTGCCTTTCATGGGCTGGCTGAAGTCTTGGCGTGTCAAGATGGCTGAGTCCTGAACGGGATCGTTCTAAAACATTGCTTTCTGTAGCTATCTCGGAACCAAGGGCTCTAGCAAACAGGTAACTGGATGTACAAGGTCGTTGGAACTCCTAGGAAATGCCCTTCACACAGAGTGCTCGAGGCTAGAGAGGCGTCTGCCGTTTGCTTTTCAGGGCCTGAGGTCGCGCAACTCTCGATAAAGACCAGAGGAAGAAGTCGAGTTTTGAGCCCTTGATGTCTCTGACTGGTATAGGCCAGCAATCCGGAGCGAACTTGGACTGCCCAAAGCCCGCAGCTCCGAAGACGGCACGTCGAGTCAGAGAGAGAGGCAGAAAGAGAGAGTGAGAGTGAGAGACAGAGGGAGGGAGATCTCCCAAGCAAAGTGAGATGCAAGATCAATGGACTACTCTATGCCAAATGCATCTGGACCTCTCAGATCCAAGATCTCTGAAGCCGACAACCCTGACGCTAAAGGTTTAACTGGGTTTAGGGTTTTAGGGTTTAGGGTTTTAGGGTTTTAGGGTTTAGGGTTTAGGTGGACAGGTTTTACACCCATGCCCGCTGAGCCGGTAGGTAAGGGTGAAGGCTCTGTGACACTCTCAGCCTGCTCGCCTCGATTGGCGCTGAAGCCCTTGAGACACCGGGGCCCAATATCATTACTACTAGTCGTCACTAGCCCTTAGGTTCAAGTATATATATATATATGTACTGAATCAGAAATTGCGATAAGTAAACAGACCCCACCCCACGGCCCTATTCTAATTAGTCAGGATCTTACATTGGATTCATTAGATCCCGCTCGCCGAGAGCTATTGGCTCAGGGCGGATCTCATTGCCAGATACCAGGGCTCCATCGGGCCGGATCTCCCCAGCCTACGGTGCTTCAGGGGGCATCCTTCAGGTGCATTTCAGAAGGTTTGGCGGTGCTGAGATGAAGGGACTCGAGATGTATCCTTCTGTGTCAGAGGCGAGTTGCTATAGACTCGAAATTTGGCGGCACCTCCCTAAACCAAACCCCGGCGCCGCTTCTGCCAGCTATTTCTTGTAGTCTGTGTCTTGAAATCTATCGTTCGAAGGTTTCGGTGCGTCTATCAAGTAAGGCCGTGCTGAGAGAACCCA